AATTAGAGTTATCCGTTAAACACAAAAATGATTTTTTACGTAGTTGTTAAACTCTTTTTGTACGCCACCTATCAAACAAATCATATAAAACTATTTTTTTAATATGTCGTTTCGTCATGTACAAGTCATTTTAATATTCCTGTTCTTGCCTCAAGATTAAATGGGCATGGCTACCCATCTTCCTATTCTACCGTATTATATGAGTGAGAGTATAGATAGAATTAGTGTAACACTACTTTTTGAAACACTTGATCCATGAAATCGTTATGCAGTGACATGGGATATTTGAAAAAAAAAACTCGATAATTATTTTTTCTCGATGTAAAACAATGAGATGGGAGACTTATAGGTCTCTTATAAATCAATCCTAACTTGTAGCTGTCGAGGCTAATGGAGGATAGCCCCTAAATGTGATGGCTTATCTAAGCCTTTGTTGGTCCTAACCACTCTAACCCAAAATTATCTCATGTTTAGATCCTATATGGGCTTATTGTTTCACTTAGTCTAGCTTCAGTAACCTCTCAAGTTTGGCCCGATCAAGGCTCTCAGCTCGGTTGACATCTCATCACTCGATTTCTCAAAATGTGTGTGCTCCTTGGGGTTTAGTATGGGATCTTGTATGGGATATTTGAGTGAGTTGATTAGCTCTTTACAATTGTATGTGTCGTAATCACGTATCAGGATCTGTGAGGCATGACCTCTTTCTAGTTCCAACTAACTGGTCTTGTTGGGTACATTATGGAAAGTTTTAGATCCATTACTTAATTTCTCTACTAGAAAATAATTGGCAACCTCCCAAGTAGGTCTCATAATGATATGCTAACCTCGGAGAGAGTATCCTTGTGCTTGCCAACTATTATGTATCTATGTGGTCCATATTGATATTTTATACCCTAAAACCTCGTAAATAATAATTTAATTTTAATAATAATTTTGATTATTTTACTTGCAATTTAATATAAAAAAATTGTGATTATTAATGTAATATTGGATAGTTCGTGGTTCACATACGTGTGAATCATATTCACAAAATAACGTAAAGGATCTACAGTACATGCATAAGTCTAATGGGCTTATCCTAGTAACATCAATGATGGGACTTACTTGGTTATTGTAACAAATGATTTGATCTAAGTCTTTCATGTGTAGATGTATGAGTAGAAGTATCCTATACAATAAAAATTTTATAAGATTGGACTATAAAATATTTAATATCTTCATAAATTCATTAATTGAGAAAATTAATAATTTACAGAATGATCATGACTCGATCTTAATTCTAAGTTAAGCACTCTTACATGTGAGAACTTATCTTTCGATTTGTATGAGCGAACGTGATTTTTGTTAGTCAATCAATAAGCCTACAATTTTGAGGACCTACCAATTAGGGAATTTGAGACATAAATTTATGGGATATAATTCATTCATTCCCATATATAGATGCACGTAGATGAGTAGTTCCTTTAAATGATAATTTCAAACCTTAACAATGAGGCCCTACTCTCTCACTCGTCTGATTGGGACCTTATGACACCCGAATAAAGAAGGGGTACATGAATGAACCAAGACCACATCCGAATGAAAGCGATCATGAGAATAGGATGATTAAGAAAGACTTAAAACACATGAAAGTTACTACTTATAATAAAATGCATCTTCCTTTTCGATAGCCTAATCATAGAATCTCTATAGTTAAGCCTGCTTTTCTTGGACTTCAACGATTGGAGGAACTAGAGTAAGAAGAGTAAAGACTCGTCGTAACTTCACATTTAGTTTCGTACCTAAGTCGAAAATTAGCAGGTGCAATGATGTTTTGGCTAGTAGGATATTGACAAAGGGGAAGAGGAAAAGACTAATTTGTGATCGGCTGCTGAAGCGGCAGACTTGTTTCTACCTTCGTTGAGCTCCAAAATGACCCTGCTACCTAATTATGACTATGATTGATATGTTCCTACAATTGGGATTAGAATAAAGGACATATCGAAGACGACCTTCTAAGAGTCGCTGTAGGCACGACGAGTTCATTGTTATGTTTTTTTGGTCTAACCAATGTTTTTAGAGTATTTATAGAGTTAGATGAATTAGTGTTGGAAAACTTTCTCCATATTTTCCTCATTGTCTTAATTGACTATTCTAGTGGTAAGATAGAGGTGAATCTCGAGCATCACCTAAAAAAATTTTTATTGGTTATGAGACTATACTAATGGCACGTCAAGTTCTCAAAGTGTGAGTTGTGGCTTTCCTAGACATGTGGTATCGAGTTAGGGAATTACAATAGACCCAACTAAAATAAAAGATAATAATGAGATGGCTCAGGTCAACTGATAAAATTCTTTTTGATTCCTGAAAATATACTCGAATGAAAATTAGGAGCCATTTGGTATTGGAAGTTCAAGAACCGAGGACTCGAATGTCAGCAATAAAGATAAGTATTAATTCTGAACTTTTCGTAAGTTATACTTGTAAGAATCATTTGGATTATAATATGAACCTTAATTCAAGTAATAACTTAAGAATTATACCAGAACTAAGCCAAGAACCACAAGTCAAAGATCTAGCTTGAGTGTTTTACTCAAGATTTAAGTAACGTTAAAATAACTCATTAAATGAAGTCCGCTACTCATTACTTTTTACTAGGAGGTTTAAGATGGCATAATAAGGATATGTATAAAGTTTGATGGTCATTGGAGTTTATTTAGGTGATAAACCAAAGATAAGTGCAAAATGACCAAAATACCTCTACATGCCTAAGTGTTGGTCGTGACCAAATGAACTTCAATTAACCTAAAATTTTATATATGGTCTACTTTAAAGGATATAAGAGGTTATGCAATGTTTCAAAGTCATAGGAGTGCATTTAGGAGATAAACCAAGAATTGAGGGTAAAATGAACAAATGCCCCATCAAATAATAGTAAGCTATTTCTAGGTCCAAACAACCTCCAAATGACTTGAGATTTTAAGTAAGACCTATGTATAAAAACATGAAGGTTTACCAACACTCATACAAGATATTACAACAATAGGAACTTTGCTTGGGATATGAACCAAAACTCAAGTAGTAAAAAGATGAAAATACCCCTAATGACTTCCTAATAAGAATTTATGAAGATTTCATGAACGACAAGAGTTATGTTATGACAAGTACGATGCTATGACTAATTTAAGTTAATAAGGATGATATGTTAACACAAATATGACATGTATGCTTACTTTAGAGCCATGAATTCAAAGCGTGCCATGAAGTTAGGGGGTGTTACAAGTATGCATTATCTTAGGGTTAGTCCATGCTGATTACTACCCTAAGGATATGGGCAAGACAAGAACATTACACAACCTCACACTCTAAAGTTACCATGACCTCAAAGAAGGCAAGGTAATACTCTAACCATTCCCAAGGTGACCCTCGATCTCCCACCATATAGTGTATCATGATATCCATGTTTTTCCTCATCTAGATAAGATGCTCTGCACCAGCCTTACCAAGATCATATTTTCCTCATCTAGATGGGATGCCTTACGCCAACTTTAGCAAGATGACATGTTTCATGATTTTCTCACCTAAATAGGATGTCTTATGTCAGTTTTAGTAAGATGTCATGTTTTCTATGTCTAAATGGAATGCCTTGTGTCACAACTTCAGTGAGAGAAAGTAGGTTGTGACCTCCACATGTAAGAAAAACAAGGGGTGACCCTCAAGTGGCACCCATTCAGCCATGTGAGGACCAAAATTGAGAAGTGTCATGATGTGACCAAGGAGGGTGGTGCATCATCCAACACACCAAGAGTGTGCATTCGTAAGTCGAGGCATACACAAGGTTTGAGAGAACAAGACGACACAAGTGTCAAAGATAAGCTTGAAGAGAGCCGGGTAGGGCCCTGGGCCATAACCCTATAAGTCAAAGTTTTGATATGAGTTTCAACATGCGGCTCGGGAATTAAGTCTGTGTATATGAAAGATGAAAATTTACCAAATTTGGTGTCAATCGGATACTCGATGAACTATGCACGAGGTTGTATGTTCGTTCACCAAAATGATGTCTACTTGAGAAGGATTGAAAATGCCAAAAAAAATGTACTATAGGGGGAGGTATGGTGTCAACTCTCCACAACCTGGGCCATGTGGCCTAAGCAAGCTACCTTGTGACACGTATGTGTGTCACAATGTGGACGAGCGTCATGAGACAAGCATCTCAGACGTCTTCCTTTGAAAAGGGTATTTCAAAGATAGTACATGACGACATGAGTGTGTCAGTATTGCGCCCTAACCCATGTGTCAAAGGTTTGATTATGCACCCACTACCCAAAATGTATGTCGTAAATGGTTTAGCGTGGACACGAGAGAGTCTAATGCTTGAGAGAACCCAGATGGATGGATGTTTGGGATGTTTCGATGAGATAATCGACACATGGGTCAGTTCCCAATGGATGTGTCCAAGCAAGCCAAGATGACCTATTTGTCTCGAGACATGTGATGTCATCACAATGCATGGGTCGTGTTGTTGGGAACGTGATGATGATGAGATTCAATGTTGTTGTATTGCTGACGATTGAACATACACGTGTAGGCGGCGTGTGTGGCCAGACAAACTTGAATTTTGCAAAAGTGATGTTCGATTTGCAAAGGCGAACCTCGCCTTAGGTTCGACGAAACCACATAGCCGGGCAAAAAATGTGAATGAGGCTTGAATTCTCCTTTAAAGCTTGTTGTGAGCGTGTCAAGATTACGACATCGCACGATTGAAAAAGTATGATCGTGACACCCTTCACCATGTTTATAGGATGTCTACCCACGCCTACATGTGTAGTATTTGAAAGATGAGAATAATTGGAAGTAGTATTAGTGCATAATGGTGTATAGATAGTGGTGTGACAAAGACCAAAATAGTGAATGCCTTCCCCACAACACACCCAAACAGCACACTAAATTTCAACATAAAAACCAATGGAGTTTTGGTATTGAAGGCACCATAGAAGTGAAGTGCATGTCTTCTAGATTTCCACCTCAAATTTGTCTCTCTTTTAGACATTACCCAATGTGCCAAACTTCCATGTCCACCCACAAACCACAAACAACTACTCTTCTTTCTTACTTTTTCAATTTTTTTCTTTACTTTTATGAATATTTTTAGGCCACAAATACACCCAAACATATCTCTATTTTATTTATTCAATTTTAGTGTATAAATTGATTAAAAAAAAACTTATTTTATACTTATTTTAGTGTACAAAGACAAAGGAAAGAAGAAAGTGGGTAAAGATGCAAATCTTTTGATGGAACTAAGGCAAATGGTGTTTTGGTAGCCCTTTAAATGCCTTCTCTTACATTGTTGCTCCATTGTGCAATTCTTTGAGAGATGAAGCTTTGCCTGCCTCTCTTTTTCGTATTAACGCTTCTTTTTCTCATCTTCTCAAGTATTTAAACTATGTACGTCAATTATAATTGAACTATGCTCACTTTTATTTATGTTGAACTATGCTCACTTTTATTTATGTATATAACTAAATATGAACAGAGAAGGTGGTGGAAATGAGGGGAGATGGAGGAGGAAGATGCATGACAGTGATTGATCCAAAGGCATGCGACTTGAGGTCTTGCAAGCAACAATGTCTTGAGCATAAAAATGGAAATGGAGTTTGTTTAAGGAACTTCAAAGTGGGTTACCAATGTGTCTGTTACATTAATTGCTTTTTAACTTGATGGAAATGCATTATCATAGACATACAATCAAAAAACCTTCAGGTTACTTTATATTAATTTCTTTCATGATCTTTTTCAAGGAATTTGAAAAAATAGACTTGATAATCGAAAAATTAAAAAATAGCCCTAAATGTTAGAACTTCAAGAATAGCCCAAAGAGTTAAAAATTGCAAAAATAACCTTACAAATCGTGATCTTGTGCACATACCATAACTCCCTTGTTCTTTTGTGAGACATGGATATGTATATGTGGCATATTTTTCATCATTATCATAGATGACTCATCAGTGTCTTATAGCCTTAACATGAATATATCATAACATTACTTGGGTTAGCATATTAGAAATACATGCTCACATAATACTCATATCATTACATAATCATAGTAAACATTATATAATCATAGCATAACATTAGAAAACAACACGTAAATGGGTAAGTTGGTACGTGTCATTCATACATTATTGAAATGATCTAACCAAACTTGAAGGCATTTTAACAATAAGTCCACTTACCTTGTTGGTCCAATTACCTTGTTGGTCCAAGTTGTCTAAGTCGATGTTCATTCCAAAGTTGATGCTTTCAAGTAGTTTAGGTTTATTGTAGAGATTTGGTTCCGAGATTAACTCCAAATATGTTTCCTCTCTTCATTCGTTCCTTTTTTCTTTTCTTTTCTTTTCTTTTTTTTTTTTCTCCTTAGTGCTTCATCCTTCCTTTAGGGGAAGAGGAAATTGGAGGAAGTGGAGATTATATATAAACCTTGTAACTTCAAAGTTCTGCATTCTTCTTGCAATCCATAACTTCATTTCTGTGTAACCCAGTCTCTTACTTTTGCTTCACAAGAATCACAAAAAAAAAAAAAAAAAAAAAAAAAAAAAAAAAAAAAAAAAAAAAAAAAAAAAAAA